CAAGATAACGCTCCAATTTACGTCAGCAGGAGCACCCAAGCTTGGTTCCCTCGGCAGTTCTGCTCTGACCGGCGAACAGCTCCGGCTTGAATTCGATAGAAAATGTATGGGGCTTCATGTGCGGAAGATTCACGCCCAAAACAAGCAACTCCGAGGCGTCAAGGAGTTGAAAAAGTGATAATCGATGCATGGCACCAAGTTGCCCAGGAGCTGACCGATAATTTTTTATTCGAGCCTAGACCACCGTATTATCAGTAGTTCGAAGGAATGGTGGGTCAGCTAATAATTGACTTTGCAACTTTCTCTCCTTGTTGTATGTTTTTTGTTAAATAAATTAACTTTGTCAATGGCTGTATCATTTGGCGACGATGGAAAAACACCCTTTATTGAAAAATTGACCAAAAAACTGTTTGTGTTTTCGTGTTAGAATTTGGTGATAATGTGCGAATTGCAATTCAAATTTGACACATTTTTTACTTTGGCACTTTTTCAGGAACATCGTATAGTGTGAGTTTTTGGGAAAATCAGAGGTGGCTGTATCATNCATTGGCGACGCACTGTATATATAGAGTGCGTCGAAATTAGAGCTACATGGTATTAGGTCGTCTCAATCGACTCGTTTAGTATTTAGCGAACTTCCAATGCAACGTTTATTGTTCACTTCAGAATTAAAAACATTCAATGGATCTCGAAAATTCCTCCGTTGGCCTCGACGCAAGCCTTGAGACGCTCAGGGAAAGCATCGACGGTGGCACGCAAGTATCTCACGCTAAGGTTGTCCCACACCTTCCCAAGGACTCTTTTCAGCGAATCCACAGAGCGATGAGGTTTCGAGCAAGCCTCTGCCTCCAGAACGGCCCACACACTGTAGTCCATAGGGTTTAGGTCCGGAGAGTAAGCCGGCCACTCGTTAAAGGCGATCACGTCGGGGAAGTTTTCCTTGCACCACTGTTGCACCGTTGTCGACCTGCGAGCGGGAGCTCCATCCTGCTGGAAGGTCCAGAAGCGGTTCCCAAAGTGAGAATTGGCCCAGGGGAGCAATTTATCCTCCAAAAGTTCCAGATGGTTTCGGCTACTCGCTTTAGTCCCTTCGGGAACGAACCACAGCGGTGTCTTGCCATCAGTCGTGATTCCAGCAAAAACCATGACAGAACCAAGATGGGAAGAGCGGCCTACTGTTGCGTGCGGGTTCGAAACAGCATAGACGCGGTCGTTCTGCCTGTTGACCACCTTTTCTACTGTGAACAACTTCTCATCCGTGAAGAGAGTCCTTAAATGTCGTCCATTCCCAAATCTCCTGAACAGCTCCCTTGATCGTTCCTTGCTCTTTTCTTTCTGAACATCGGTGAGTTTTTGACACTTATTTTTCTTGTACGCCTTCAATCCTAGCTTGCATATTATTCTCCTCAGCGAGCTCTCATTAATGCCCATTTCTCGCGACATTTTCTGAGCCGACTGCGACGGCTGTCTCCGAATTCTCTCACGCACCCTCCTTATACTACCCATGGTAACGACGGTGGCAGGCCTTCCCTTTCCGGATCGGTCGTCTTCAGTTCCTAGCTCCCTGTAGCGTTTAATGGTCCTGTAGATGACCCTGCGATGTATACCAAGACGCTGGTGGATTTCGCTTGCCGAAACTCCTTGGAGATCAGATGTTATGATCGCAGAGAGGTGGCCGGATGGCTTAACATAACGCGCCAAGTGTGTCTGTTGGTTTGTCTGTCTGTATGTGTGTGTTTAACCGGAAATTCATAACCGGTTCCCGACCTAGAGAGTTCAAATTTGGTGGGAGTACAGGCGGCAGGATAGGAACACTAATGGTTGGTGGCGGGACCGGACTCCGCCCACAGGGGCGGGGTCATGCGGAAAATTATAACCCCAGTCACCGTGGACCTAGAGCGTTCAAATTTCGTAGGATTACTCCAGTTAGGATGGGAATACTTATGGTGTGTGGCAGGACCGGACTACGCCCACAAGGAGCGGGGTTTGTGTGAAAAAACTTTAACTTGGACCTAGAGCGTTTAAATTTGGTAGGAGTACAGGCGGCAGAATGGGAACACTTATGGTGTTTGACAGGGCCGGACTCCGCCCACAAGGGGCGCAGTTTGTGTGAAAAACTTCCACTTGGATCTAGAGCGCTCATATTCAATAGAAATACAGGCAGCAGGACTTAACTCCGCTTACAGAAGGCGAGGATTGAATAAAAAAATGTCAATGTAGACTTTAAGCGAAATCTCGAAACCAAGGTTGAATAAGTCGCTAATAATTCGAGTTACTGAAACACACATAGCCTAAGGAGGTCTGTTCATGGCGGACGGGGCGCGCACGGATTGTGTTGGGTGTATGTGTTTGGCCGGGAATGAATAACCCCTGTTTTCATCTTCCAAAGCCTTCAAATTCGATAAAGGTGCAGGTTTCAGAAGTACCCTATTGACTGTAGATGTTTGTAATAAGTAAGCTTCTATAAAACATTCATGTGAACAAGTTGAACATACTGCTATATATAACGCGCTAACGTCTGTGTGTATGTGTTAGTATATAAATATAAATATAAATAAATAAATATATATATATATATATGGTAGCGGCCCAAAGTCTTCGGTGAGACGCTTTTCCAATTGTAACTTCCTACTTCATAAAATCATACGAAATTTTAGTATGTTAATCAACGGCATATCATGAATTTTTGTCGCTATTTACTCCAGTTTGCTCTTGTTCACGGTACGTTAATGAGAATCAATTCAGATTCAGTGGGAAGTACGGATAGCATCTCGAGCTAATAAAAACGGCTTTATTTCGGAATAGCAACATGTAAGACATCAAAAGCATCGATATCTGGTAGGAAAGCCTCGACTTTGATGACAGCATCGCAATGCGAAGACATCGAGTCGATTAGTTTCTGAATGAGAGACACTGACATGACATTCCATCCTTCGCTTATTGAGCGAATTTTTCTTCGTTTTTTTCACAAAGTTTGCTCGAGAAACGCCTTCTGAGCTCTCCCGACATGTGCTCTATAAGATTCAGATCCGATGACTGGCCTGACTTCTCCAAAAATATGGTTCGTTGTTTCCTGAAGGCCGCCTTCACAACTATTGGGAAGTGTTTCGCATCGTTACACTGCTGGCAAGAAGATGTCGACCGTCATATTCTTGTACTATTCCCCTGTCATCGTGCCGTCAATTTTCAAAATAGGGCTCACTCCGTTTGAGAAGAAGGCACCTTGTACCATCACAATTCCTCCACCATGCTTAGTTGTGGGTAGGGTGTATTTGCATTGAACCTTTCCTTATATGTACGTCGTCTGCACCGTATACCATCGCCTTCCAACTAATTAAACATGCTCCGATCTGTAGAAAAAACTGCTATGGTCAGTCGAAGCCCAGTTGAGGTGACAGGGCACAAACTACACACTAGCTCTCCTGCTTTTTGGACTGGTTAACGGCTTTTTGGCTGGACGCCTTCCATAAATACAGCACTGTTTAGAGGTCTTCCTACGGTCTACCTGCTATCAATGGACCCATGACTAGCGCTGAACTCAGCGGCAATGTCAGACGCAGTGAGGCGAGGGTCAGCCCTCGACCAGAGTGTGATAGGTCTGTCCTGGGCTGATAAAGCACATCGGAGCCTTTTCTAAGCATTGCAAACAGAGTTTTTGACGTGCTAGCATGGGATACTCAGAGAAATCGTCTGCCTTGAGTCTTTCAAAATTCTTAAAGTGACCTTGAATTGATTGCCCGAATCCTTCATGTCTGCTGCTGCAGCCGAACTCTGTGAGTGACTACTGTCATTCTAAGCATGCAGAAGTACGAACGTCGAGCAAAATGGGATGCAAAATGCATTTATCGCTATGCATGCAATCAGGAAAAATCGCCTCTTTAGAAGTACATCTGCGCGTAGTCATCTGGTCCTCCCGTTTCGAAGCTAAAAAGTATTGACTGTTTTGGTTCAAAGTGAGGTTTGAAATAGCAATATTTTTCTTGAATCCTTTCACTAGGAAAAAAAAANAAAAAAAAATACGAGCGGGATGGGAATGCTTGGGGTGGTGGCAGAACCGGACTCCGCCCCCAGTGCCCGGGGTTTGAGCGGAAATTCATAACTTTCGTTGCTGTGGACCTAGAGCGTTCGAATTTGGTAGGGGTACAGATGGCAAAATGGGAACACTTATTGTAGGTGGCAGGATTAGCCTCCACCCACAGGGGGCGGGGATGCGCAAAAATGGTGAGTCTAGAGCCGAGCGTTCCAATTTGGCAGGAGTACAGTATGCAGGACGGGAACACTACCATAGGATGGGAACGCTGACGACAGAAGAGGCCTTAGAGAGCAGGAATCACTTAACAATTATTTCTCAACATCTTTGTTATTTACGCTCCAGTTTCGATTATTTGATACCAGTTGGCCTGCGCACGATACCGTGCGCGTCTCATGGCTTTTCATAATAGAAAAAATGAAGAGCACCGTTCTCCCACCCCTGCTAATAGCGTCATAAGCTATCTATCGAGAGCGCACATATCTAGTGAACTGCATTTGGCTACCATTTACATTCGTTTATTCATATTTTAACCAAGACAATCCATAAAATCAAGAAAGAATCTTGAAATTAATTATTATCTTGTTTGCCCCATACCATTGTGAGTACCTGTATTCCTCTGAAGATGGAAATGAGAACTTATTTGCACTCCGATCATTTATGCGCACCCGTCGCACCAATGTATTGTTTGATGAAATTTTATGCAAAAGTAACGATGAGCAGGTCAAAATTAATAATTTCCGCGCAAGCCTTCCTCAAGTGGGCGGGACCTACCCCTGTCACGTATCATTAGCTTTCCCATATTGCCGCTTGCATCTCTGCCAAATTTGAATACTCTAGGCCCAAGAGAACAGGAGTTAAAGAATTCCACTGAACACGCGCACGACCGGTTCCTAGTGGGTCGCTCCGCCCTTGGTGGGCGGAGCTAGTTTGTGTCGCGTGTACCCAGAGAGTTCGGCTCATTCCCCGCTTGTTCCAACCTGTCTGAGCTGTTCCAGCTGATTTCCAAACGGCACAATATAAGATAGTGTTACAGACAAACAGACATACAAACATACAAACAAACGGACATTTGCGGATTATATATAGTAAGGATGGTTCATTCGACAAAAAAGGTAAGTGCAGTGGCAGGGACCGGTTAATGGCACTACATTATAAGGAGATGAAATTTTTTCTTTGCTCGCTATAATAGATCACGACTGCTACTCAGGAAAGTATGTTATTTAATGAAGTATCATGGTTTCTCTTTGCTTCGATGTCAATCTAGGCGAAAGTTATCCGACCGCTAATAATCTTGAATCTCATGTAATGATATATCCGCAAAAAAAAGAAATTCCATTGATAAAGACATAAGATAATAATATTATAACTCGATAACACTTGTGAGTACCATTCAAGGCCTTGCTTCATCGTTTTTAGGATGAACAGCAACAGATTGAGACTTCTACTCTTAGGCATAAGCATCAGCGTATTTCGAGTACTTTTTGCATACGAGCCTCAATTCACTGGAGCTGTTTTAACCTCAAATTTCATCCCAAGAAAAGAACAAACTACCAAGATTAAAGGAATATGTACTTTATTCGGACCGTGTTAACGTGCGATATGGATGTGCATGAATGTGAACGGTGTGTGATTAATTAAATTCTGTCTAACTGGTATAAATTGCATTAAAAGGGTGGATGAAAGCGATAGCTCTTAAGATTTCTGTCGATTTCTTCTTTCCCACTCAATCAATGAGAATCTATGAGAAGTTTAGCAACCTTTAAGACTTTACTCTTAGACAGGTTCCCTCTTACCTAGATGTGAAGCACCTCTAGCTGATCGTCAGCGCAAGAGGTTGGATGGTACGGCGAGTTGCCTACCCAAAATTTTCATTGCATGGGCTGGGCATGGGTGCCGTTGGCAAGTGATAACACTTGATAGGAGCTGATAGGGAACCTTACCCTAGATAGCAAGAGCCGCAAGCTCCGTTACTTCTTTCGTATTAGAAGTGGAGATTTTTGGCACTCAAGTAGGTGGTTTCGGGATGTAAAGAGACCTAGGCGATTGCTGAGAAAGATTGATAAGTGGAAAGGGCTGACAAATAGCCACAGAAGGCTAGAACTGCTAAGTCTGTAACACATTCGTGTAGCAAGATCCAGTTGAATCCTTACATTCTTTATTTACTATCTGGCTTTAACTCTTTGATACGTTTCATTTGATAAGATGGGTAAGTGCAGTGACAGGGACAGCTTAAAGGTAGTACATTGTATGCAGATTAAAATTAATCTCATTTTTTGCTGTTATATTACGGCCTCTACCCAGGAAGGTTTGTTACTCAGTGAAGGATCACGATTTTCCTTTGTACGTAGGTTGCCTTTTATATTTCGGGATCAGAGAACAAAAATAAATCTTAAACATTGGAAATCGCTTAATTGTTTTTCAAAATATTCCCCATTAAAATCTATACACTTTTGGTGGATTACCAATGGAAAGTTGTATTTAGGACGTGTAACAAAGGGTTATTACGACGCCTAGTACGGAACTTGGTTCTTTGCAGCTCTTGGTGGCTGACGTCTCAGGGGAGCGTCAGATTTTTTCCTCGATGTTGATGACCGTTTTCTTGGAGTAGTGGCTCTTGATCGATATGTTAAGGACTCGTTATTTTGGTCGTGTGATGAAGAGTGTATTTCCAGAAGAATAAGTTCATTGATTGGTTTCTGAGCTATTCTCCCTGTTGATGCTAGGAGTATGGCGCTCCGAACGTGGCCATCCGTTGCCTGGTGTCCAAACATACAGCAACATCGTGTCGTCGGGACGGTAGGGCACGGAAACAGTTCCGTCAGAGTCACTTGCTGCGTCCTTAGATCCATTGTATGCATACTTTCATCGAGTCGTCGTAAGCGGTCCTCCATCCGATTCACTCTTTCTCCGATTCCATCCGCTTGAAGTCGTTCACGCTATCCAGTAAAGCGTAAAACGTGTCACGAGCATTCTTACTCGAGAAGCAGGGGTGCTTGTGCAGCGAACTGGCGAGTAGGAATAGGCTCTCAGATATTGGCAAGAAGTGCGTTGCAGAGATATTCTTGTCCGTTTTGGGAGTAGTCTTTTGATGATATAAGAGGAGTAGCACAATAAGCGAACCACACTGTACATCTCTAACTTGCTTCATTGAATTGGGTATGCTGCCAGTTCCTGAGATTGTGTACCCGAAGATAGTGGGTGTGAGGACCAATCCAGATGGTAGCTTTATAACTGGATTGTGGTGTTCGAACACCTGATTCAGGAAGTCTTGTCCATTAAGTAGTTCGGGTGATACTTCTGACGGGCGCAAATTTTGCTGAGCAATCATGATTTTCTCCCTTTTAATGAAGCTTTTGTCAGTTGCCGATAGAGGAGCGGTATTGATCGTCATCGTCAGTTTGTCTTTGGTGAAAACCGGCAGACGTTGCGGTTTCCTCGAGCTGCGTAAGCCTTTCAAGGTCACTTTCACTTCATTTGATTTGAAGGTTTCTTGAAGCTCTCCCATTCCTGTTGTGGTAAATAAATGATGTGGAGCTCATTGTTGGCAGCCTCAATATGTTTCTCATCTCTGCCTTTGTGAAGCTTTTCTGAGCTCCTGAATCAAAAAGAATAGTGATTGGCTGGTAATCCCCTTTGGCTTCATTGAAGATCAAAGCAGATGCCATTTGCAGTACGCATTGTCCTGACACCGGTCGTTCCGATTCTGTAGTGACGTTCCGAGCAGGAGCGGCATGCAATGTTTGCACTCTGTTTGTTTCTCTCCACTGATTATTATTTCTTGCTGTTGGCTGTCTGAAGCGGTTGGTTTGCAATGGAAACGGCATCCTTGCAGCTCCATGCTGAGTGGAGTTCAGGGGTGGGTTTTGCCTACGATTAGGTAGGTTCATTGATTCCAGATCACTGCTCGATCTTATGCAGAGTGAGGCATGGTGATCCTCCTGGCATTTTGGGCAAGGTCCCATTGCTGTGCAGAATCTCGAGCCGTGAGTTTTATTGAAACATTTCCAGCAATCTCTGGCGCTTGGTTTCCATTCGCCGAGTCTCAGGTGTAGGGAACATGGCGCATTGTTGTGGTGAGTGCGACTCTCCACACAGACCTGTGTGTCTCAGTCGATGACTAGGGAACTGCTTCATTTGGTTGCGTCCTCCCTTATGTCCTCTGAAGTTGTACTGCATGGGTTAAGCGGTTTGAGTACCGAGGAGCGTCTTTGTCGTTAGCTCGGTAGTTTCTTGAAGCGTAATGATTTCATCAATAATATTTCGCATCAAGAATACCTTCACTTCGAATCCTGTGCCACTTTGATTTTCTTTCTTAATTACTTGGCTACAGACTTTCTCTGTGAATTTGGAACGGATAAGACGTCGCCATACTCTGTCTGCGTTCATTGGCACTCCAGTTTGTTCTAGGTGCACGATGCGCGAAGCTACGGAATTGAATTTGGTTCGACAAGTTGAGTTTTCTTGAGCCCTAGGCAGATGCTCGATCTCGTTTATTAAGATATCGGCTATGCCTGATGATCTGTTGTACTGTTTCTTGAGTGTATTCAGCGCGACATTATACTTGTCGCCAATGACTGGGATGTTGCTAATTGAGGCAGCTGCTTTTCCCTTCAATGCTTGTTTCAGGAAAAGAAATTTTTCTTGGCCACTCAAGTCCGACTCGTTGTGTATGAGGGTTCGAAGACTGACCAGGAGGTGTTGAACTCTCTGTAGTCTCCAGAAAATGTTGGAACTTCGAGCAGAGGGCGTCGAACTCGTATGCTACGTTCATACAACGTATCGAGAGTATCCCCTCCGCTGTAGGAATTGTGTTGGCTGCTACCAGCCTGCTTTGCAATGCTGGTGGCTTCCGCTATGAACGAGGCTTGCTGCGCCAATTCTTCCCTTCTGAACTAGATTTGCTCAGCCATTGTATTATTGCAATTTCAAGGCCATTCGACTTGAGCTCCATGTGGTTGTTCGCTCGAGCATCAGCTTTTCACGATTCTTCTGTTCCGATCGTGAACTGATTGTTCCGATGGCTTTGTCAGCATAAGTATCGTGAGGCTGTTTTGCTTTTGTGATTGTTGTTACCAAGTGGTTCAGCTGTGCAGTTTTTTCTCTTATGTACACCTCACAGTCCTCCTTTTCAGTTGGGAATATGTATGGGTTGTCCAAAAGTTTGAAATCTGACTCGCTTAAACGGATCAGCTTACATGCGTGCGTGATTCTGGTCTTGAACAGTTGAATCTCCGCCATTTTGATGCTGGAGCTGTTTGAGATCGGTAGTTGTTTTTTGTGCTTTGTTGGATCTGAGCACAAGCTGTTCGAAGCCAATAAGCGTCTGAACTGAGTGAAGTTTTAGCTCAGTTCGATGTCTCTCTCAAAACACCTCGGCTTCGTGTAGAATGTGTTTCCTGCCACGCGGGTTTTTGAGTTCCTCAGGGAGGAATTAATGTGAAGATCTGACTTTTTGACTAGTGATCTGGTCAAAAATTTGCCAAATTTTCTAGTCCTCAGGAAGGCTTGTTGGTAGCTAGCTATCTTCTGTTCTCTCACTGTGGAGAGATTGTGCAGAAGATTTGTGCTTGTCTCCCGGTTCTCTTTGAAGAACTCGCAGGAAAATTCTGGGAAACAGTAGAAATGTCCTTCTGCCTCTCACTTTGAGAGCTAGTGCAGAAGGATATGTCTAGTTTCTGTACCCCTCAGGGGGGGATAAGAATAGAAGTTTGAGCCTTGACCAGTGATGTGATCAAAGGCTTGCCAGATTTTGCTTTCTTCAGGGAGGAATGTGGAGCAAATTGGCTAAATGATAAACCTTCTGTCTTTCAATGGGGAAAGCTAGCGCAGGCGGTTGTCCGATTTCTGTATTCCTCAGGGAGGAATCAGAACGGAAAGTCTGACCAGTTATAGGTCAAGGATTGGCCAGGTTTTGCTTTCCTCAGGGAGGAATGTGGAGCAAAGTGGCTGATTGATGAACCTTCTGTCTTTCACTAGGGAAAGCTTGTGCAGAAGGGATCGTTTCCAACGGTCGATGCACTAATTTGGTGGATTACTAATGGAGCGTTGTATTTAGGACGTTTAGTAAAGGTTTATTACGACGCCTAGTACAAAGCTCGACCATAATAGAACATTCACGGGGTTTATATACACAATAGGTGGGCGGTCCTCAGATACCGTATCTCCACTGGACCTTAGAGAGCTCATGGCGGTACTCAAGCTCGAGGGATGAAAGAGCGGACCGCGCCAACGGCAGAACTTAAGTTACCTACTTGATTGCACACTTACGATACCGCCAGGTCATGCCTGTGGTCTCAACTCAAGTGGTACTCATGTCAAGTTATGCCTATGGTTAGTATGTTGAACTAGCATGTTATCCATCATTCTTGTAAAGGCTAGTTCTATTATAAACACATATAACATACATATATATATGGTTGTGAATCCACAACAACACTTTTGCATACGTTTGAACTAATTATCGGAACACTTTTGCCACTCTGGTTAAGGTATCTCCAAAAAAAAATGCATTCTGAACGAATCAACAGCTCTCCAGGTGTCGAAAAACGTTGACCTCTCATTTTATTTTTCAAGTACGGGAATAAAAAGAACTCATTCGGGGACTATATGGCGGATGACTCATCAAATCGATGTTTTGCGTGCTCAAAGTGCAGTTATTTGAGCCGATGTGTGGGAGCTCGCATCGTCGTGTTGAAGTGTGATCCGTCTTTGGCAGTTGTTTTTCTGGTTTTTTGGAAGACAACTGACAAACAAATGGTTGTATACCACTCAGAATTGACTGTTCTACGTTGTTTTAGTGCTACCATTACGACATGTCCAGTTTTTCAATAACAACAGGCGAATATTTGCTCGGAAGTGTTTCGTACGCGGACAGCTTATGGTGGATTTGGCTCATTTTGAAATACCCATACGGTCGACTGCTATTTATTTTCGGGCTACAATACAATACACGTAAATACATGATCAACCACCTTTCGCGATTTCACAGACCTGTTTCGAGGCCCACAATCGTATTTTTGAGCATTCCTTTCGACCAGTCGACGCGAGCCTCTTTTTGAGCGAATGTGAGATCCAACGCGAGCATTTTTTTTGACAGTCAAATGTTCATACAATATTGAATGTATGTCAAATGTTCATACAATATTGAATGTATGGTGGTCCCACTAATGCCTGAGGTTGTATCAATCTCACGATAGGTCACATGACGATCTTGCAATATTAGTTTGCGCACAGCATAAATGTTTGCCGGAACAACAACTGATTTTGGACGACCTCCTTGAAATTCGTCTTGGAGTGAACTACGACCTCGGTTGAATTCACCACACCATCGATAAGTACTGGTCCTTGATGGAGCTTCATTGCCAAAAGGGGAGGGGGAAGTTAAGGAGGAAAGAGGTTTGGCCTAAGTGGGGGGTGGGGGCGCCAAAGGGAAGGTCTGGCCTGAGTAAATTTTTAAGTTGGTGTAAACAACGTAAAGAGCGCTCATATATCAAAACGTTCTGAGTACGTATAACCTCAAAAATGTCAAACTTTACGATAGAGCTGTCAGTTGCCTGATTGCATCGCTAGGGTTTTCCAATCCCGAAATGTAAAAGGCAACCCTCGCATCGATATCAGTTGCGACAAAACATTCGACCGTCATTAATCTTGGATTCTTGACTAATGACATATCCTTAGAGAAATAAAGTTCCATTGATGAAGACATTTGTTAATGGTGTTATTATTTTTCGACGACATTTGTGACTACCATTCGAAACTTTGGTTGCTCAACAGTCATACTTTCTATGGGACATTATTTTCAAAATGAACAGCAACAGATCGAAACTTTTTATCATAGGCATAAGCATCAGCATACACCGAATACCCCATGAATGGACTGGTACTTTTTCGAGATGTGATGGCGCTATCATCAATCAGCAGAGATCCCTTTTCCGTAAATGACTAGCTGCTATAGGAAATGGTCGTGGCATGTGGGGCTGGAATAAAAAGGGGCCATAGAAAACTGCTACAGTAGAATTAACAATGGCGAATAGAGACGGCGAAGAAGAACTGATGACGGCGACGCTGGAATCGTCAGTGAATAGTCAGTCGAGGCATGCTTCCGCTGTCGCCGACCTGATAGCAATGACCTCCAGGCGCGGCTACCCATGGGCCCAGTCTGCCGGAAGACATGATACATCCAAAAGATGAAGCTAATCGATTTTCCGTTTTCAAAATTCACGAGGATTGTCTGCTTTTTTGTCACACAGAAACAGCTTGCATTTCGTTTGCTTGAGCACATATATTTGGACTTTGTTCTTGAATATTTTGTGGGTGGGAATTTTTAATTCATAAACTAAGGGAAGGTCATATTGTGAAACGAAGTTTGTAGTAGTATAGGGAGACAAGCAGAACAGTGAAGGGCATTTGTATACATATTAGTTACGGTCAAACGATGTTTAGCCAATGCAAAGCTCACTTTTTTCATATATGCATCATCTATTCAACACACTTAATTGAAAGCGAACAACTAAGGTTGTAATCTAAGAATTCGTTGTTGAGGAGAAGGCATGATGCTGTCGCTTGAGGAGCGTACAGATGGTAATCTATCTCGCTCAGGAAGGACGGCGCCACATGGTAACACATATACGGGTTATGCGCCTTCGTTGTTCGTTATGTGGAGCTGGTTCGTTTTTCTGTACGGATTTACGAGTGCACCTGATGGAAGGTCACTGTGAAAAGCTACATCGTGCACCGGAAGGAGTGGTCAAACGTGATGTTATCCCATGTATGACTAAAGAGCAGGTATTTACAGAATACTTTTTTACTGTTTGCGAAGTAAGTAGATGTTTTCAGCAAGTTCTTAAGGTTTGTTTCAGAGAGTTTGAAGTGTCATGAATCACGTTTTTGTTCAGGCAGACTCCTTGTCGGAATTGGCTGATCCTGTGAATCCCGGCCGAGTGATGTACACTAGCGGACAGGTAACTACATTTTTTTATTGCAGTGGCGTAGTGCGCGATGAACAAATTCAGCTTTCCACCAAAGCTGGTTTGCGCTGTTTTCTGTCGCTCTTTTATTAGGTCGAGTCATAAGTCCTCGGACATTGTGATAGTGATGAGTTCTATATATCATAACTCGGAAAAGAGGTGACGAAAATGGACGCTCTTGGCATCGTTAGATAGAGTATAAAAAGTTCTTCCATAAACATTCTAACGAATGCACCTGACCGTACCCTGCGCTTGAGCGTGAGGAGAGAAGTTACCATGTCGGCAGTCCATGTCATACTGCTTCAAAGCATGATGCACCCATCAAACAAGCTTTCACACCTTGCCGTTTGACTTCAATCCTTCAATAATTCTGGACTGGCTCCCCAAGAAGGACTGCTAGTTTACGAGTAGTTCGGTACGGATCGGCTTCCACCTGGCCCCGCAGTACGTCCAAATCCAACTCAATTGAGCGTCCCGGAGGTCTTCATCTTCGATGGAATATTCGTCCGAAGTGTACTTTGAGTGCCACTTGTGAATTGTGCATCTAGCAGGAGCAACATTCTTGTAAACTTCCTTCATTCGTCTATCGATCTCCGCGGGCTCTAGGCCAGATAAAAAAGAAATAGGATGGTGTTGCGGAGGTGGAGTTGTGACGGCTTGAAATCATGGGGCATGGTTGCAGGAAAGGAAACAGTCAGGTGTGTTTGTCAGTAAGTGTTCGGAAGAGTTTTTCATACCCTACCTAACGATGCCAAACATGTCCATTTTCGTCACCTCTTTCCCGAGTTATGATCACTAGAATTCATCACTGTCCCTTTGTCCGAAGACTAACAACTCAACCTAATAGATGGTAACTTATATGCCACATATGTTGTTGCACACGATTTGTGGTTCGAGTTCCAAGTTGTTCAAAGAAGTTGATATTAGTGGCGATTGAACGCCGCTTTTTCTACTCCATGTCTTTCAAAAGGCGAAATTTCTTTTCTTCGGGGTTGATTGATTAGTACTTGATCCCGATTCGTATCCGAGTACTCGCTCTCTTGTCTAGTTCCTGATGCGGACAGGCCGGTTTGCAATTACGTGTACAAGTGCCATGACGGTTTTATTTGTAATTGGAGGGGTGGCCCATCTTAAGACAGGACTGACAAATAATGTTTGTTCTCGATAAATATTCTTCCTCTCTCCTCTCATTATTGGGCTTCGATCTGGTGAAAAATACAGCTACATGGGAGACTCAAGATTCAGATATTGTTCTCCTCTAACAAGGGAGGGATACTTGCTCGCCGTGGCCATTCAAGATGAGATACCGCAGTAGGTGCTTTCGAACGCTGATCTCAAATCTTTGTTATAGATCTGCGAAATTGTTTGGGAACGAATTTGCGTAACAGTCTTTTTCCTGTATTGTGCCAGGGGGACGGTCAAGTCGTGCGTCCGAGGGTGCGCACGGCAAATGGCGCGGCGAAATTCATACCTATTCTGACAACTTCAGCGCCTATTATTTGGGCTCAATTTTGAAGTACAGTGGAATAGTAGGATCATCTGACCTTACTAATTTACCCTACTTCAGATTTGGGCCCCAATGATATGCGCCGGAGTCGTCTAAATTCGCCACGAACTTCGCCGCGCAATTTGCCGCGCGCTCCCTCGGACGCACGACTTGACACACACCCATTGTGCCGCTGTTTTGAATTATAAGCGAACCGAGCAGCTATCTGGTAAAGGTGGCACAGCTGGTATGGGGTCGGACTTGTAGGCATGACATGGATGTTCGTACCCTTGATCATCGTGCGCTTTTTGCTTTTTTTAAAACGTGTTCACCTGCAATCCTCATGTTGACTACCTCGTTCATCCCTCACATTTGGGAACCCGAGGAATGGCAATGCAGGAAAAAGTCTTCGTGGCTAGCACTGACCAAGTATCGATCTCCCTGTGCCGAGCACTCGAGATGATGTTACGATATTTTTGGCAAATTCATGTACTCAATACTGTGCGCAGTCGATTGAGTCTTTTGCAAGAGCCTTGGAAGAAATGCAGCCTTCACTGCAGAGTGAGACTGTTTCCACTTCCGAAACCGGAAGTGCGTTGGTGAACTGATATCTTCAAAATGAACTGATGTCTTTAAAATAGTACGGTTAGACCAGTAGGTGATCATTTTGCTTGCACATATGGTAAACCATTAGTAATCGAGAAATTCTTTCTTGAGGTAAAAGTGGTGGGGCGCGATACCACAGCTTGGCACAGAACACTGCCCACGAAGAGCTTGCTTCGAAGTTGTTTTCTAGGGAGCGTTTTTTGTTGATTTTCGTGGGCATTCAGTGGAAATCGCTGTCGTGCAATGAGATTATTACACTCATCTCAGGATCACCTCCTTCACATCCCGACTGATCTCTAAAGGACTGGATCGATCTGCTCGTTTTGTCCCTAACATTCACAACAGCAAAAGGCATCACTTTTCAAAAATAGACTAATTTGGAGGCTCACCATCTCTTTCGTTTTCCCTTTACTTCCTTGGATACTCGGTAGCGATGGAGCAGAATTTGTTCTTCATGCGCAAAGTAGGACGCCTCTTTTTGGCACACGGACGACGAATGCTATGGACCCATACCATGAAACTAATCTGAGTGAAACGGCAAAAACAGAGGATACTTCCAATTTTGGAACTTTTATGTCTTTAAGAAAGTGCGAAGTTTTCTTTCGCAATTCGATGAGTTCGAGGTCGGAACTATCATCGAGTGGTCCGTGTGCAGGTGGTTCAGTGGATATTTATGCCTCCGGTGATAACGGAGTAATGTAACACAATAATATAGTAAGCGCGGACGTTCCCGCTATCAAAGCACAAGTAATGGTAATAAATACTTTATAAGACAGGTAACTTACGTCTTGCCCGTGACGCTGTTATAGGAAGGAGTGCGGACCCACTTATCTCGGGTCCGCTTGACCCCGCACCATTTAGGGGCGTGGGTTCAGCTAGGGATTCGTCTTAGACAGTGAGACGACGATATACATAGTTATGGGGATCGTCGCCATAGACGACGATAGTCCGAGAGTTTTATAGTGGTTGCTTTCTACGGACTCATATTCTTCGTAATCCCGGGCAGAATATTTGGCGGTAATATATTGAAAAGCTTTTTGATCCATTAAGTGTTGTAACACGCTCTTTGAAGTTTTTGAGCAATTGTTTGAAATTCCTCTTTGCTTGAGCTTCGCCGTTACTCGACGGCTGCATAGCAGTGCTTCCTTCAAATTACATTTGCATTGTTCCCAAAATGTGAAGGAGATCCGCAGATAGTCATCATGAAGCGCAAAACGTTTTGCAAGCGTTTAGGACAGGTTCGTGAAAAAGCAAAAAGCGCACGTCAAGGACACGGATTTCCATGAGATGCCTCCGAGCCTAACACCGTACCAACTGCGCCACCGTTGCACAGGTCACGAGGTGCTCGGTTTGCTTATATATTCAACACAGTGGTATAACACGAGGGGAAAATTGTTCCGAAGTTTGTTCCCAAAATAGATTTGCATATTTTGAACCCAGATTAGAGATCAACGTTCGGAAACACCCGCGGCAGTGTACATTTTATCTTGAATGCTACTGCGACCAAGTGTCTCTAATTTGTAGGTGTTAATATTGAACGGAACCTCATGGGTCATTCTGAAACTTCTATTTTACAGATAGTGTCAGCGAAGAGTCGGACTCCTTACTACCCGGACCCTGTGATTGAAGAGAGGATCCTCGGGCCAGGCAGAATTGGTCGTCGCTCTTCTCCAGTTCGCCTGAAAAACCGTGTGTAATGGTACTCAGTGTTCACTGCGTGAGAGAAAACGATTCCCTATAAGTAGGTCGTAGGAGTGCAGTAATGATATAAGTTTTATAGCCATCAACCGACTCGAAGTAGTCGCTTTTCAGTACAAGTTTTGAACGGGTTGATAAGTCATGACAGTCGATCATAGTAGAAGTGAAAAGAAAAAATTAACGGAGGGCAAGTTTTCTAATGACTAGTTGAATTTTGAAACCATCTGTGGTTCTAACCCGGCGTTTCTGTAAGAATTCACGTACTTGTTCTAATCGTGTTGAAAATGAAAATGAAAATGTGTCACAGTCATAGAGTCATTGTGGTTTCATTGCTTCAGAAGGAGTCTTTCAGCTTAAGTGAAACATGCTTGAAAACTGCAAATGCGAGATGTTCAACACTGGCCCGATGGCCTTGGTTTGAGTGGAATGGCGGAAAAATCGAAAGCCTGCTGCCGATTTAATTTCCTCCAGTCAATACAGCTTACGCATGCATGCAAAACATCAACATCCCAACTGTACCTATTCAATTTCTCAGTAGGCAGAAGCATTGCACAGAGGTCTAAGAAAGATTATTGCGCACAACAAGTTTATTGCATCAATCCCTTCAAACCTACCGCTAAACAATCATTCATAATAATGAACGGAACGCTCGATGAAATGATGTTAACATTGATTTGTGAGTTCACTTGTGCAAGTCGCTGTTTAGAAGAGGCAGTACAACAGTAACGATGCTTATTCCTATGGTCCATTCGATTTGATGCTCTATATCTTTACCGGACTATTCCATAGGCATTTTATCTAATGCAGTGCTTGCTTGCTCTTTTGCTCAATGATCATGCACACCTAAAAACAATTCGTCTCGTGCTGGCATTCATACATTTGCTTAGATCCATGTCCCATTTTTTGTAAATTTTTGGAAAAAATGTTGATGTTAGTTGTATATAAAAAGCACTTCTTCAATCAGTTCGAGATATCGTAGCTACTTATGATGGTAATGATTCAGCAGTATTAACTCCAATTTTTCACAACTAGAAGTACGGGGATTGTCACAATCCTTACTATTATAAACCACAAATGTCCGTCTATTTGTCCGTCCGTTTGCCTGTTTGCAGCCCAGGAGCGTGCGCGAAAAGTGTGGTTCACCGGAAATAACTCCTGTTCTCCTAGGGCCAGAGTGTTCAAATTTGGAAAGGCTACAAGCGGCAAGATGAGAACACATATCAGATAGCATGTGTAGACTTTGCCCACCGAGGGCGGGGCTTGCGCGAAAATAATCAATTGGGATCTGGAGCTTGCAAATTTGGTAGAGGTGCAGGTGGCAAGATGGGAAAACTAATGGCAGGTGGCATGTGCAAAATCCGCCTTCTTAGAGCGGCGCTTGCGCAAAATTTGCTAATTTGGACCAGTTGATCTGGAGCGTTCAAATACAATGTGTTGAGCCGGTTGGCGAATATCATCACTGAACCGTTAAGCTGTAAGCATTACATGATATATGTTTCGGCTTGATGTCTTGTTGACTGGTGTTATTTCGCCGCAGTATGCGGTGCGAAAGTCCCACAAGGTTGGCGATTTATGATATAGGGATATATTACAATTTATGTAAGGGATAAGAGCGCGGTGCCTGGAAAGTTCAAGTACGGGTTCAAGTCCCGACCGTGGCTGAAGCTTTGTCCATGAATCGCCAACCTTCTGACAAGGGAAGGATCCCAAGTCGAAGTGGCCATTTAAAATGGGACCTATACTGCTCGTGGTATTTTTTG